TTTGGTCTGCACATCTTGGCAAAAATTCACTCAGGGACAAATCAAACTGTATAAAACATTGTAACCCAGGAAACCGCCATAACATGGTAGTCTTATTAGTTCCTACCAATGGGGAAGTCAGGCAAAGTTTAAAAGGCCCAGGGAAAATGGTGGATGTGAGCTTACTGAGGACGCCAGATTGGTGAAACATGTAGAGGCAGAATGTTGCGTCCAGCCACATCCAGGTCCATTGACGTCACATCTGTTTCTGGCTATTGGAACGCACGCTGGCTCTAGAGACACGAGCGGCGCTATTGTAATACAACTGAGTGTATTAGTGCCAAGGATTGGGCACCAACCAATGTAAGTGCATTTTTTGTCATTATTATATCTTTTAATAAATCTACTACACCATGAGAAATGTATAATTTAGATTCATGTTGATATGGAATTGCGGTATTAAATGGGGAGTATGCTGAGAAGGAACCCACTGAAATTCTGATCCCTGATGACACAAAGTGCTATAGACCTTCTTTTAATTAAGGGGTCATGGACAGTCGTTGAGTGCAATATATGGACACGAGGTGGTGGAGCACAAAGTTGATTTGCATGAAGCAATTTATTGGGCACTAGAAGAATTTTTGCAATTTTTGGCACACAATTTGGTGTGGGACTTTTATGGACTTAATTAACTAAATTTATATATGATATCACGGTTTAAACACTTTGTTTTTGTATTGTAGCTTAAGCATCGGTTGTTTATGTATGCATGTGAAGCACCGAACCTTCTTTTAATTTTATGATCACAAGTATACTTGCACTTTAAGAGGCAGCTAGCACATTTTATTTTATTATTATCATTACACAACATGGTTGATTTTTGGTAAACACCAACTTATATTTTCAAGAGGTTGCACTACTTTTATAGGGTTAACCCATTTTGGTTAACATACCCATTGGGTAGTAAGAGAAGGCACTCAGTTTTTTTTTACATCACTTTAAAACTAACTCTTGCTATAACTTTTACCCTAACACTAATCCTCCTTAAAACCCTTCTCCACACACGAATCTTCCTTGTAGCCCTTCTTGTAATCCTAACACTAATCTTCCCTGTAATCCTCACCCTAACACCAGCCCTCCCTGTAACCCTAAAGCTAAACCTGTGTGCACAGGTCCACGTAAAAGAAAACCTTTAATGAGAAAAATATGTAGGCTGCATTGTTGTTATCCTCTGCTACTGTTCTGATGATTTGGCTTCAGTAAAATCTGAGTCACTGATCTGGAACAATTATTGGGATAAAGAATTCTGACTTTCCCCAGTCTTTAATTTACTGCCTGTTTTTCCTGAAACTATGACTCATACGTACTGAAGCCAAACAAAGCCAAGCAACCAGGCTTAGTCCAGCAATTGCAGACCCCATATTTTTAATGTTAAGTGCCTTGGGGTATTGCATTTAGGCTTTATGTGTCAGGTTTCTATGGTAGTGAGCCCTTGTAGAAAGCCAACTCATGGTTCCCAAGGGCGTGGAGTGTAAGCCCCAGTCTGCTTTTTCACCAGGGGTCCTGATGGTGGGGATGTACTTGCAGTAAACTGGCACCAGATCGCGGCCCCCAGGTATGACCGACTGAAAATGTAGAGGGCACTTGTCTGCAGAGTATAGATGGCAGGAGAAAGAAGAGGATATGGGAAATGAGACAAAATCAGGACAGGCCACAGGCAAGTAGACAAAGCTGGGGTCAGTACATTGGTAGTCAGGCACAGAATAGAAGTAATACAATACAAGGCAAACCAGGAGCACAAAGAAACTAGGAAGTTGCTCAGGCATCGCTGAGCATATCTATATATACAGAAACAGACTGGGAAGAGGGCCAGGAAGTGATAGAAGGGAAAGGGATATAAATCCACAGTAAAGCAGGTGATGCCCAGAGGTGAACACAGAAGCCAGCAGCAGAAGTGAATGGAATCACAGGTATAGCAGAGCCACTGCTGCAAGGAAGTAAGAATTTGACAAACAGAAAACTGCAGACTGGACTGTGACATTATGTTTTGGTATGATGTCTACCAAAAAAGTCTTGGGGCATTGATAGTCAGGCAAAACCCCTGAACAGTCATTTTTTTGCAGTGTGCCAATGTCTCAGGACTTATATCATGACCTGCTACCAGAGAGAATTTACAGGTCTTGTTTACTCAAGTGATGTACTTTTCTTTGCACGTAAAGATGGAAAGTCCGAAATTAGCTGCACTCCTCGATATTTTTATTGAAGTATTAAAATGACATCATAGGCATGAAAAGATCAAAGAAAGGTGATACGCTTACTCAAACCATTTTTTTTGCAGTTCATCAAAACTGATAATTAGGTTGTAGGTAGAGCTACATCAGCCCCTGTCTTCTTATGTGGTTTGGATATTCCAACAGTGAGATCTTGCGACATAATTCCTAACTTTTTTTCTGTCCGCCTTGGAGCTGAAACTGTCAGGTGATTAATTATCCAGCATCTACCAAAAACTCATTTTGGGTGGACTGACCCTTTAATAGGCTATTTTCCCCGATTTCAGCAGCTCTATATTTTAGAAAAGGATCATCAGTTTCCACTGACCATAGTTAATCTGTAATCCAATCCTTCAAATACAATTCTGTGACATTATGTGAAACTGTTAAAAAGGGTTTTTGGACTGAAAACTTGAAGTTCTGTCTAAAAGACAATTTGTATTCCAGATCTTCATGTACGATGTCCAAGAGCATGTCATGATGACATAATATCAGTATTAGGGTTGATATTAGTCCTTTGCAAGTGACATCCAAAGTTCAAAATTTGAAAGAATACATATTCTCTTTAAAACTACTATATGAAATTGTGTACTACATGGGTGAGACCATCGATACATTAGGTGGATCTTGGCAGGTTTATCATTTACTGGCTCCTTGTATACTGTATCTTTCAGGGCTTCTGGTTTTGAGATCTCTAAAGCTGAGTTACTAGATCCATCTGATGTGCAGTGCCATAACTTGGCATGATGCACAGTGGCTAAATGGTTAGCACTTCCACCTGGCAGTAGTAGAGTCATTGATTCAAATCCCAGCCATGGCACCTCCTGCCTGGAGTTTGCACGTTCTGCCTGCGTGCGTTTCCTCCCACACTCCAAAGACATGCTGGTAGGTTAATCGGATCCTGTCTAAATTGGCCCTAATGTGTATGTATGAATGTGAGTTAAGGACCTTAGATTGTACACCCCTTGAGGGTTAGGGACTGATGTGAATGTACAATGTATGTGTATAGCACTGTGTAAATTGATGACGCTATAGAAGTACCATAAATAAATGGTGACCCATGCTAAAATCACTAGACCTTTGCTGTGCGTTATGACGCGCATTAACATGCATTGTGTTAAGGCAGCCCATTTATTTTGAATGCACTGTCACTGCACTAAAATGGACCTTTTAAGGCACCTGAACCTTTTTTTTGTCCTAGAGTACCACAATGCAGGATTATTGTAGTATGCTTGGGATGTTCGTTGGGGTAATTTTTATAGTTGAACACCCCGAGTTAGAATACAAGCAGGTTTAACATACTCCTAGACTTCAAATGGCATTTGTTTTATTGCTGAGATTAGCTGTGAAAGTATATTTTTTAAATGTTTTGTTATATCTGTTTTAGAAGCACAAAAAACTGTTGAGTCTTCCAGAAATCCAGTGCTGACTTGTGCAGTTGGCAGCTGTATTTAAAACACTATTACTAGCCCTGCCCAGTTCCATGAACTGTCGAATACCTAGCCCTTTATTATGAATATGAGAAAGGGGGGGCTGTCCTGTAGTCCGGCCCTGGCAACTCTTCTTCTCTATGGATATGGCACACTAATTAAGCATTATCATCCTAGTACAGGACATTTGTTACTGGCAGGATCACCAGGTAAAAATAAAGAAAAATAGCTCGAAAAGAATGATGCAGTCACCACAAATAATGACTGGTAAGCTGCAGTATATTTTGTTTTTTGGGTTTAGATAAACCTTAACTATTATAGAGAAAAATCCACTGGTTCTTCTGTCTAGCAAAGGTGAATAAATCACAATAATGGCTGGAGAGAACTACAAATCATTTGGCAGATAGGACAGTTCATATATTTGCTTTTCAATGTGCTTAGCTGTTTGCCTGGAGTTCAATCAATGCTGCAACACTTTCCCTTTGACTGCAATGTTTACTATAAGACAGCCTGGAGTGAATAAGGAATTAGCAGCTTCTAAGGTGTATTTGCTCTTCTTGGCATTCATACTCTGAGTTCAAAGCAACATTTGTTAATGAAGCTGTCATAATGGAGAGGCTGTGAAATATACCAAATGTTGATAACAGGTGGGGGTCATCTTCTGGACAAGGGACAGTCTATTCTCAGTGCCAGGGCCATAGGGGTTCATTGCAAGCTAATCCACAGCCCAAATGTAACCTGCAACACATCATACAGTTAACTAAAGGTGTGCATGCCCTACACAATTCTAGTTGCTTAAATCTGAATAAACAAAGGGTGCTTTGTTTTTTCTTAAGTTTTAAATAGAGAGTGGGAAAGGATTAGAAAAGTGATGGTCAACTTACTTTCTCAATACATGGAGCCTCAAGTACAGCCCACACATAAGCTAAGGATCACACTTATTTTTTAGAGAATATAATGCTACAGAAGAAAACGGTCAGAGACTGCAGATATACTACAAGAGATGGTCAGAGACTACAGACATACCACAACAGATGGTCAGAGGCTGCAGACAGACTGCAGGGCATGTGAGAGACTGCAAACATACTACAGGAGATGACCAGAGACTCTGGACACAGTACAGGAGATGACCAGAGACTGCGGACACAGTACAGGAGATGACCAGAGACTGTAGACATACTACAGGAGATGACCAGAGACTGCAGACATAGTACAGGAGATGACCAGAGACTGCAGACATACTACAGGAGATGGCCAGAGACTGCAGACATAGTACAGGAGATGACCAGAGACTGCAGACATACTACAGGAGATGACCAGAGACTGCGGACATACTACAAGAGACGGTCAGAGACTACAGACATACCAGAACAGATGGTCACAGACTACAGGGGATGTGAGAGACTGCAAACACACTACAGGAGATGGCCAGAGACTGCAGACATACTACAGGAGATGACCAGAGACTGCAGACATACTACAGGAGATGACCAGAGACTGCAGACATACTACAGGAGATGACCAGAGACTGCAGACATACTATAGGAGATGACCAGAGACTGCAGACATACTACAGGAGATGACCAGAGACTGCAAACACACTACAGGAGATGGCCAGAGACTGCAGACATACTACAGGAGATGACCAGAGACTGCAGACATACTACAGGAGATGGCCAGAGACTGCAGACATACTACAGGAGATGACCAGAGACTGCAGACATACTACAGGAGATGACCAGAGACTGCACACATACTACAGGAGATGGCCAGAGACTGCAGACATACTACAGGATATGGCCATTGGCTCCTGCTGCTGTCAATCAAATCCTATGAGGAGGGAGCGAGGGGCAAGGCAAAGCCATACTGTGTGTGTCAATGAAGGCACACAGCCCAAATCAGGAGCAAGCCTGCAGGTGTGCCACCATAGGAAGCGGCTTCCTGTGGTGACACAGAGAAGAGGAGGAGCCATGAGCGCCAACAGGGAACCCCAGAAGAGCAGATTTCGGGCTGTTCTGTGCAATAGTATTACACAAAGCAGGTAAGTATACTATGTTTTTTATTTTATTTAAAATAATACCCTTTACAACTGTTTTAAAGCTGAAGTTCTGGCAAACAGCTAAATTCACTGATGAAGTACATATACAGAATGTGAGAGATTTTAGTTGACAAAAGGTTTGTATTTTTGTTCATCCAATTTTAAGAGTTATACAGCTCTGCTACATCGCACAGCCCTGTCTGGCAGGGCAGGAGACCAGAGTTTCTTATGCTGCAATTAGATAACATCTACAGGTCTTGTCCCTCCCCCAGCCTGTGACTAGAGAGTGAAAGGAGGGGCAGCAGATTAATGTGCTCATATCTCTGTCGCAATGTACTTCCTTCCTGTCAGCATGCTCCTTGCACTGCAGCACAACTGACCATATTCAGATGCATACACTGCTTTCATAAAAAGGGTGTATTAATAAATCTGGAGCTGCATTGATTTGTGTCTTTTATTTCTGTCTAGGGTTCAGCTTTACCTCTTCCCCATGCTATTCAGAACTAAGAAAAATGCATTTGGCTGAAGTTAGGCTTTAAATCAGTGTTATAGCTATTACAAATGCCTGAAGTCTCGAGTCAGAGGGTCTCCAGGAAGCTGCTATGGAAGGATTGGGAAGAAAATGAGATTTTACAAAAAACGTCTATTATTTTCTAAACTAAAGAGCAGTGATTGTGAATTCCTGAAGATGTTTTGAATGAGCTACACCCATCTTTCCAGAGGAATGGCTACGGAAAATACTTTCTAATATGAAACCAAAAATAGATGAACTTCCACTGAAGTATTGTAGTTGGATCTTACAGAGTTTTAAAGGGGATGATCTTTTTTTTTGGAAAGTCTTTATCAATCAGTATTAAGAGGGGCAGCTATACTTTTTATAGCAATATGCCAATTTCCAACCTATTTCCCTCCTGGTAGACACCAACCCTCCCTGGTAATCCATCTTTCCCATCTGTGATAAAATTGCCAAACCAAGCTTAGCCAAAATGTGGCTTCATGCATTTAAGGAGCTTTACCCAGACTAACCAGCTACAGTCACATGGGGCAACAACTTGGAGTCTGCAGACCCTCTCCATTCCTACTAGACATCAAATTGTTCTGGCAAAGCGATTGGCAAGGTGGAACTTGGCACTTAACTACTTTGCTAATATCAGCTTTGCCAGTTATATTACAATGTAGTCTAATGCAGCCTTTAACAACCAGGGTGTCCAGGCACCCTGGGGTGCCTTGAGGTTTCTTCAGGGGTGCCTTGGCAAAATGTCTAAAAATTACCCAAAGCTTGTATGCAAGCCAGCAGATGGAACAAGCCTGCCTTTTATACAGGCCATAGATGGGTCAAAAATTGGACGATTTTTCGTCCGAAAAAAAAAATCGGACGATTTTCGGATCGTTAGTGGGTCAATAGGTCGGCCGTTTTTCGGGATTTTGGCACTTTTTTTTAGCGGTAAAGTTGGAAAAAAATCGGCCGATTTTGCCGATCGCCCGATTTTCGTGGCAATGATGGGCAAATCGGCCAATCTTTTTACCGAAAAAAAATCTGTGCATGAACCGTGACTTGCAAGAAGCAGAAAAAGAAGAAGAGAAAGAAGAAGAAAAAAGTAGAAGAAAAAGAAGAAGAGAAAGAAAAAGAAGAAGAAAAAGAAGAGGAAAACAAAGAGAAGAAAAAGAAGTAGTAGAAAAAGAAGAAGAAGAAGAAAAAAGAATTCCAGTCTGCTATTATATATTTGACGTGAAAAAGTATTGCGGTTGCAACATTGTATCTATTTGTATCCGAATAAAACCATCTGTATCTGAAATGGATACAAATAGATACAATGTTGCAACCACTATACTTTTTAATGTCAAATATAATAGCGGAACTGTCTGCAGGGACAGAAGTAATTACTCCGCTATTATATCTGCCAGCCGTAGACGGGATGAAAATCGGCCGATTTTTTTTTTTACCGTTGGTGGTAATGTCGGACGATTGAACGACCGATTTTTCGTTTGTTTTTTTTTTTTTTTTAAAACGACCAGTTTTCGCCCCGTCTATGGCCTTCATTAGTTACACAAAGCCACAGGTGTTCATTGTGCACCATTACCACCGTCTAGCTGCCGGCGTCCTGACAACCAATGACATCATCAATTGATAAGGAGGATATCAGCTGCCTGCACAGCATTCTTGTTTGACCCTCCCCTTCCCCTCTCAGTCAGTGCTGGGTTCACATTAGCTCAGTGATGGAAGAAAAACTGAGGGAGAAGAGAAACATTGGAATACTAGTCAGTACCAGTTTGCAAAAGTGTATTTGCTTTGGAAGAATAAATCACCTCTAATGTTGGCTATCCTATATGTGTGGATGTTGCTGCATTATATAAAACTATTAGAATCGTTTTTCACATTTTGGAATGGGGTGCCCTTTTAAAATTATGGTCAGTCTTGAGTCACCCCATTTTAGAATGGGGTGCCTCAAGACTGTCCATAATTTTAAAGGGTGCCTTGACTGAAAAAGGGTTGAGAAACACTGGTCTAATGTATTTGCATGATTCAACACATCTCTTTTTATCTCAAGACAAATAGTCAACTCAAAGTGAACATGTGCAGGGCAAAGGATTTGTGTTTCTGTTCACCTATTCCTGAGATTTACACTGCTCTGTCACAATCACAACCCTGTCTAACAGGGCAGGAGACTTGATTTTTCTCTGCCACAGTTAAATACAGATACTTAATAGTACTGATAAGCTTCTATGTCACTCTGCCCTCTCCTCCGATCAGCATGTTTCTTGTTAGCACAAGAGCACTGCAGCACAACTGATTATCTCCGTGTGCTGCTTCTTCTCTCTGTCTGACCTTTGCTGTATAGAGTACTGCAAGATGCTGATTCTAAGTCAAATTCAGGTACTTGCACTGCTTGCATAAAAAAATACATTTAATTATGTATTCATAATTACAGACCTGCATTCATTTGTGTCCTTTATGTTTGTCCGGAGTTCTGCTTGTTACCCGGGTTCACACCTAAGTGTTTTCTGCAGCGTTTTGCAGAAACCCAGTACAGTCCATTTAACATGTTTTCCTATGGGATACATTCACATCTGAGTGTTTGCACATGGTGCATTTTTGGGAAAGGGTCAGGGACTTTTTTGAATGCAAAAAAATTGCGTTTTTGTTTCTTTAGACTTCAATGGAAATGCTGCAGAAAAGCATGTATTGCATTTTTACTGTGTATTTGATGCGTTTCCTAGCAACAGGAAAATTTAAAAAAATTAACCCCCCCCCGCAAACCACATAAAAAACATGGTAAAAATGCATAAAAAACGCAACATAAAACGCAGTGCAGAAAACGCAACCTGCATAGATGTGAACCTAGCCTAACTTCTCTCCGCTGAGCACAAACTCACCTTCCCAAGAGCTTGTGACTAAAGCCCTGTATACATAGGCTGAATATGGTCCGAAACTGGCCGGCACAGTAAATACCCCCCGACATTCGGCCCATCTGTACGGGTCCTTGTTTGACAGCAGCCAATCTCACAGTCAGCTGCTGTTGAATGAGCTTGCTGGAAAACTAGCATCCGATCGGCATCTGATCAGCACTCTCAGCCAATGGCTGCGAGCGCTGACCGGTGTGTTCTTGTAGTTTGGGGGGAGTTGGTCCCCCTGTCAGAACACAATAGCTCAGTTGGGAGATTGCTGTACTAAAATAACATTGTTATAACAGCAACCTCTTACACACTTACTGTGTGTACCAGGCTTTATTCTCCCTGTTTTATGTGAAAGTACTGGTGTTTGGTGATTAGCTCAGTGCAGTTACATGTGGGTGGGAGATAGTCCTCAGCCCTGTGTAAGCTCAAAGTCACAATCTGTAGCTATGGAGGGCCAGTTGAACGAAATAAAGGTGAGTATGTGCAGCTGCAGAGGTTGGTAGTTAAAGTGGAGCTCCATCTGAAAAAAAAAATACAAGTCAGCAGCTACAAAAACTGTAGCTGCTAACTTTTAAAATACAGACTTACCTGTCCCTTGGTCCAGCAGTGTCCTCACCACCACTGGTTTCACCGGCCGTCTTCTCTCCCTGGCATCAGCATCTTTAGTGTGAGCACCCAGCTGTGACAATTTGCGGCTTTACAGCCGGGTGCGCACTGCACATGCGCGAGAAGCGCTGCGCTTTGTCAATGGCCCTGTAGTCTTCTGGGACCTGTCACATGTCCCAGAAGACTAAGGGGAGGGGGGGGAGAACGACTTCCGCCTCCGATCACAGGGGAAGTGGGAGCAGGTACCTGTCAAATTCAGGTACCCCCACTCCCCAAAAGGTGCCAATCCTTAATGGAGAGCAAGGGACAAAGGCTTAAAGTGGAACTTCCCCTTTTGGGTGGAACTCCGCTTTAAGTGAACCTGTTGCTTTATTATTTATCAAAGCACAGATTCACTTTAAAGTGTAATAAAAGCCTAACTATTTGTATCAATTCTACCTATCCTGTCTACCCTGTATTAAAAAGATCTGTGTACTTACCTATTTTTAATCAGCACCAGTCCAGCTCTGGCTCCTATGTGTATAAGAGCACTCAACAATGACTGTGAATTGCACAAGCCAAGACGTCACCCATAGGCTCCCATAGTTCAGCCGTTGTCACTGCTACCTCCTCTCCCCTGCTGCAGCCACTCACTGAGACAAAGGACCTGGAGCTGTGGGATCATATGAGCGGATCAGAGCAGGTTAAAAATAAGTAAGTACACAGATCTTTTTTACATGAGGTAGGCAGGATAGATGGGGAGAGGTAACATTTTAGAAAAGGCTTTTCTTC